AAAAAAAAAAAAAAAAAAAAAAAAAAAATTCTGGGCGTTTTTTTGTAACGCCCGGTTTACCCGGGCGCCCCCCCCCGGGCCCAACTGGCCGGGCCCAGCCCGGCAGGGCAGGCCCGGCCGGGCGGCGTCCTCGCACAGCTTTCCATTTTATTATGGATGTGACTTTTAACTCAAGAACTTTGTCTTTTGAGTTGCTGCTCGTGAATTTAAGCTCTGGCCGACAGAACCCTTTGCTGTTGGGGTACCCATTCGGGGTCTGATTCGTAAAGGCCCTTTTAGATGCCCCGTCGACGTGATTCATCTTTACCTTCAGTGAATGTTCTTCTCTTTGATGGATCTATCAAGCGGTCTTTTGATTTTTTTGTGGTGACTGTTATTCAACTTTAGTTCTTGACATGATCTCAGCTTTAGACCACACTCGAACTAGTAGCATCATGAATGCATCTGGCATAAATTATGGCCACTTCATTGCTCCCCCCTTTTCTCTCTGTGTTTTCGGAGCAGCACCATTTTCGCGAGTGCAAAATGTCGTGGAGAATGTGTTCTTCTTTCATTAGGATGGAACCGCTTTTTGTCGCCATGAACAATTTTTGCATTATTTTACACTCCCCACCCATGGATGTGTTTATGCTCTGTTTTCCTGTATTCTTCCTGTGTGCTGTCATTTCCCTTTCCCCCCTCCCCCTCCCCGCTTCCCCCTCCCCTCCTACCTCTCCCGTTGCTAGTCGCTTGCTTCTTATTGTACTTGTCATGGAGTGGCAAAATCAGCAGTGCGCGTGGTAGTCAACCACACTTATGTGTGCAGTGGGCGTTTCTGTGGTCTAACATCGGTAATGTTCGTCTTGATGTGCTGTTCAATGATGTAATCAATCCTTCTTTCCACCAGTCGGGAAACATCTAGCGCTGGATAGACAGCTTTGGAGGATAAGGTAAGGGTGCCCATTAGTAGTTTTTTTGCAATGTTTTATGGTCATTGTCATTGTAGTTGTAGTGCTGTAATTATTATGTTTGTTATTTTTTCTTTCTGCTGCAAACCTACCTTGCACCGCACTGAGGGGGGGAAGCGGAACAGAGGGGAGAGGGCTGGATGGTGTAGAGTGGAGGTGATGCGAGCATCCTCCAACAGTGAGTACCCTAGTTCTGATGCCTCCACTCTATTGTTGGGTAGCTGCACCTGCTGGAAACCCGGTCCAGCATTCTACAAAAGATCAGAGCAAAAATGTTCACAGGGGGACAGGATTGGTTGCCCTCAAACAAGGGGTCTAACTGCCTTCGTTAAGGCACTACTACCTTTCACTCTGTTGTCCCATTTGGGAAAAGAACCTATACCGCATATCGCGGGGGCGGGGCCAAACGGCAGCCGCCGCTTCCTTTCGGCCTCCGAAACGATGTGGGACCCTCCCTGCAGCCGATGTATGTGAAAGGTGGTGGTAAATTAAGGAAATAGTTTCGAAATACGAACCACAGTACATACTACATACATGTTATTATTTCTCTTGGTAAACTCTTACCACCTGCTGCAACGGCTGCCTAAACTCATTACCATTACTCCCTATTTCCCAGCCCACGAGGAAATACCCCCACTCATCAGCTCCAACCCCCTCTTCTCTCTGCCACCAAGCATTGTCTAGATTCTGCAAGTAGTGGATTTTTTTTCCGTCTTCTTTTGTTCTCCTTTATCTTTTCTTTTTTCCAAAGGATGTTGCCCTTGAGATAAGTAGTGACCTGCACGAATGGTGTAACGACTGGCCCGCTGTCTCCAACATGGGCTCAGTGAAATTGAATTCTCCGTGAAGATGCGGAGTACCAGCGGCTAGACGGTAAGACCCCGTGCACCTTTACTATAGCTTTGCATTGACGACCTTGATTGAATCTAGAACTGATCGGCCGCTGGCAATTTAGAATGATTTTATTCTGGACATCTGGTTGGGATTCAAACTCACGTCTGTATTTTGACAGTTCATTGGTGTACCAACTGAATTAGGCACATTGGTATTAGTGGATTTTTCACGATCCATCCGGCAGAATGAGAAGCCGGACACTATACCATGTCACTACCCATATGACAAAGAACTAAAATGTATTAGGAAACACCCAATCATGGACATTATGGAGCTAACCACCCAATCATCGACATTATGAAGCTAAACACCCAATCATTGGCATTATGAAGCTAGGCACCCAATCATTGGCATTATGAATCTATTCTCCCTCGTTGCTTGCCTGCGTGATGATGGACATCTGGTTGGGATTCGAACTCAGGTCTGTCGTCTCTAAACTTACTTGCCTGGTACTAATCGGACTGGTGCCCCCCGGAATAGATTGGGCTATGGTGTGCCAGAAAAAGAGAAGAAGACACTAAGTCCCCCCATCCGTGCATTCAGGAGAGGTCTACACAGACATGTGTTGAATCGAATGTAAAACAACCAGGCAGAAATTATGAGAGAGAGAATCAAAAACATTTGAAACCCAATCTCGTCAACGATGGAGGGGTTAAAGATGTACCACAGACACATATTGGTGTTCACGAAAAAGACAATTCCCATTGATCGATGAGAGAAAAATGCAGCCAGTTCCTTTTTTTTTCATTTTTTTTTTCAGCCTGTAGTTGTCAAGTTCCACATCGATCAATGAGGGAGAAGAAGTCAGCCAAATGCACCAAACACCGGTAGTCAACTGTGGGTAAACATGGGAATATGTGGGGTTTATACCCATGTCACCCATGTCGGTAAATGTGGGTAAACATGGGTACGCATAGTTTATGACCCATGTGGGTAAATGTGGGTACACGTGGGGAGAGAAAAACACGATGCATTTTGTGGAAAGTACAACCCACCCCCATTAACTGATGGGGCAAACACAGGCCCAAAACATCTCAAACTCACTCGTCCCATCAAGCGACCGTTTCTCTTTTCCAGAAAGGGAAAAGATCTACCTTTCTTGAAGTCTGCATCCAAAAACCTTCCCAAGGGGAGGGAATCCTTCTCGTGTAACTCGTGCAGCGATAAGAGAAACCACAATCATCAAGAAGTATGCCATCATGATGCCACGAAAGCATGACCATCATGGAAATCATTATTGAAAACAACAGGACGATAGTAAAAGTAAATGAACCTAATCATCAGCGCAACTCTAACATTGCACAGGTAAAGTTGGTGGAGATTAAAACAACAGGGAGATCAATGTTATGATCCTGGATATCTCTCAGTGCAAAAACTCAAAGAAAGAGGTCCACCATAGCCATGACTACTCTTCTTCCTCCTCTTCCTGTAGGCCAAGGTTATGGCTGACTACTAGGGTCTCGCCCTGCTGTGCAAAGGACAACACAACACAGCTGTGCTCGCTGCTGTTCAGACCGCCATGCCTGACCCTGCCTTGAAGCCTACTTGGTGTGGCGCAACCCCAACTGGGGCCTTCCAGATGCAGTGCCTAACAAGGTGATGAAGATGGTGCCCACCATAGCCAGGTTGGTACCTCTCCACTCTCCTCCTCAGTCCTCTTCTTCCTCCACCTCCAACCAGTAGATCTCCATCATAGCGGAGGTGGGAGCTCCCGGTCTCCTTCCTCCTAGCAGCGCTAAATGCCCAGCACTCCTCCAGCCAACGCTCCAAGCAATGTGTCACCAAACTTGCACACCGAAGAATGAGGAGGAGCAAGGAGCACTTTGCTCCTCCTGGAGATATATCGGCCTACGTGCCTCTTGGGCGGTGACTTCCTAGGCCACGCGGCCTCCAAGCAACCGGTACCTCCTCCCTTTTGGACGGAAACATCATTGCAGACTCTGATATTGCCCGTACATGCCCTAGACTCAGACTGGTTGGACTGGTACCCGCCTAGACCCAGCCTACAACTACCGGGCCTCTAAAAATGCCAACTTTTGTCTTCTTCTGCTCGGCCTCGAGTACCCGACACATCTACTTCTACTTGGTGTGGTACCGGCCTACCTTCTACTCGAGTGTTTTCCCGCTGCCCTAAGTGTTTTTCCCCCGCTGCAACCCTCAATGTCATGGCCATACCAGCCCTACGGGCCTCCAAACAAGTAGGTACCCTTGCGGGTAACACACACTCTCAGGCCGACCAGCACTCAGACAGGCACGCAGACCATAAAGCACACACACACACACAGACTTATAAAATTCAGCAGAATGCGGGAATCTCAGGAAGGCATCCATTCCAGCGGCAGAACTCAGAAATCATCAGTGTTCTCAGTCTGTGTTTTGGTGGGTCATTACACTCCCCCCCCCCCCCCCCGAAGGAGTGAGGGAAGCAGTAAACTTCGGTCGCTGTTTGGAGACAATCAGTCGTCCGTATGCTTTGACGACTCAGGGTGCACTATGCAACAAATCTTTCCTAGAAATCCAGTAGAAATCATCTGACGGGTGATACAGAAAACGAACCTTGTATTGCCTGTTCTTCCCCTTTCCGCTGTGCTCAACAATTCTATCAATCTTGTGATCGCCATTGATTTTGCACGAGGGATTATCGATTTTCAATACAGAAAAGTTGCAGGCTACCGATGCGGAAATAACTTTGATGTGTGAAAGATTGGGTACGTGCGCAGATGAGAAGGCACATCGATCGTGTAAGAAGGACCAAATGAATAATTCCCCACCTTGTTACCTTCCACGAACTGTAATACTGAGGAAGAAGATTTTGCAACACCTTCTTAAGAAAACTCAGACATTTGACCCAGACGTAACTTCCCACTGTGAAAGGTTCAGGCTGGCGCTTCTTGTTAGCATGTTTAATCATGGCACTGCATCACCTCTCCATAGCTGCAACAGCAACGCTGATCAAGCGATCAAACTTAGCACTATAGCCAGGCTGGCCAGGTGTTAGACCAGGTGCCGGATCAGGAAACAGATATGATAGGGGATTGCGAATCTGCAACCTGAGGTGCAACCGATTAGGTGTCATCCCGGTGGAGGAGTGTATGGAGTTGTTGTACAACCCCTGCACAATTGGTAATTCTTTATCCCAAGAGTTCTGATCAGGCATGATTAGAGCACGGAAAAGTTGGATCACGGTCTGGTTGATGTCCTCAACCAATCCATTGGCTTCGGGATGTCGACCATACGTCATCTTGTCATAGATCTGGGAGCTGAAGTCCTTCCAATCTCCACTTATGAACCTAGTGTCCCGGTCACAAGAGTCTTTGGGGGGCCATACTGCAGAATGTACCTCTTGTTAAATTCCTTGATCACAAGGTCAGTTGGGGCGTGAGGTTTGATGCGTTGACAAACTTGACACCCAGCCACAAACGCTCGGCCCATTCCTTTCATCCCGGGCCATACAAACTTTTCTAATAGGCTTTTGTATGTCTTATCAAAACCAAAGTGTCCACTCCGGCAATGAGCCAAGTCCAAGAAGTGAGTACAAATAGGTTCATGGTTGGGTACACACAATTGGTCGTACTTTTCGTGATATCGGAAGAGCAAACCTTCGAACTCGTGGAAATCAGGTTGACATCTAGGGTTAACTTCGATCTGCTCAAGGATGGGACTGAGTTCCATTTCTTTCGAAGGTCGTAGGAGCTCTCACAAGGCAAGTCATGTACTCAGGGTGGCAAGACAAAGCATCCTTAACGCGTTTGTAACAACCTTTCTTAAGCTTGAGTTCAAAATTACACACGTCAATCTCATGCAGCCAGCGGATCAATGTAGTTGATGGATTAATTTGTGTCTTGATCCATTTCAAAGTTTCATGGTTTGAGAACACTTTGAAATGACGACCCAAGAGGTAGTGTTTCCAATGATCTTGTGGCTCGCTCAAGGCATCAAGTTCTCCGTGGAGGTAGCAACCTTATAATTGGGCATGCGTTTGCTGTAGTACTCAAGCGGACGTGAGCCGTCACCATCATTTTGCTGCAGCATTGCACCGATCCCGTACAAGCTCACATTCGTAGTTACTTCGAATGTAAGTTTGGGAT